GGTTACTTTCTTTTCTTTCTTTTTTTTTTTTTTTTAAAGATTTTACTCATTTATTTGACAGACAGAGATCACAAGTAGGCAGAGAGGCAGGCAGAGAGACGGGGGGGAAGCAGGCTCCCTGCTAAGCAGAGAGCCCGATGTGGGGCTCGATCCCAGGACCCTGGGATCATGACCTGAGCCGAAGGCAGAGGCTTTAACACACTGAGCCACCCAGGCACCCCAGGATACTTTCTTTTCATAATAAAACCACTTTGTCTCCAAAAAGTCTTCCCAAATTGTGTTTAAATATAGTTTTTTTTTTAATTCTTTTATGGTATAAGCTTAGATTTTATATCTTTGGGTAAACAGTAAATATAGAAGCAGGTATATTCAATTTGTTCAACTGATTCAACCAGAATTTTTTGTTAAATGAATGTAAACTGTTTTTTTTCCCTCCTTCTTCTGAAAATAGTATAATGAAAATGTTGCACTCTGGCTATGAAAGAAAATTTTTAGTTAATTTAAAAAAATAAGGGGATGGCTCCGTAGCTCAGGGGTTAGAGCACTGGTCTTGTAAAAAAATAGTTTACCAATGGCAGCCTGTTGGAATAAGAATGCTACTATTCAACAAATATTTATTAAGTGATTGGGTATGGTTTAACCTTACAAGTGATCAGAGAAATATAAATTTAAACATAAAATATCACATCCATGTCAAATTGGCTGAAGTTTTTTTTCACATAATATTCTTATGAAGATACCAGACATTATTTTACATTTATGGTAAGTTTTATTGGCCACCTTTGTCATGCATGGATGGCCTTAAAAATAATTATGTCCTCTGACCTTTTCTCTTCTAAAAATTTATACCAAAAATTGCATAGATGTATGGAAATATATGGCTATGAGAATTTTCCTCAGAAGTTGTTGATGATAGCAGAAAATGGTAGGCCAATAATGAATGGTTAAATACATATTGGTATCTTGATACAACAGAATACTATATAGCTATTAAAAGTAAGGTATAGGAAAATATTTAATAAAATAGAGAAATGTTAACTTTATGGAATATCAAATGAAAGATATGTGGACTATGGAATCCACTTTAGTTTAAAAGGAGTATCAGTGTACATAGAGAAAAGACCAGGAAGGCTTACCCTGAAATGTGAATAGTGTTTGTTATTTCTGGGTGGTGAGTTTTCAGATAATTTAAATTTTTTGCTTTTTACTTCTTGTATTTTGGGGTTTAACATTAAAAAGGGAAAAAAAGCAAAGGTTTTAAAACCTGAAAACCAAAAGCTCAGAGTGGGAAGTATATGGTTAGAGGTTTGCCGTGGATAGTGAAAGAGCTCGCTAGAGCAACTCTGTCCTCAGTCAGGGCTGAGTGAGCAGAGGCTTTTTTGCAAAGAAACTGACTAGAGGCATCACCTCAACCACATTAAAGACGCAAGTACACACGCAAGTACATGTGCAAATGCTGGTACTCATTAGGAAATCAGTCCCATTACTTAATGCACCTACACTGTTTATCCAATCCCAGAAGAATGCAGAGTATTTCTAAAACATGTGTAATTGATTTTCACTTTTCTTTGCAGTTCTCCGCCATGCGTTTATTTATTTTTTTTCTAACAAGTATCGTTAAAATACTTTCACAATATTGTATAAATACATCTTTCCTTTTTGGGGCAGCCATGACTGCATTAGAGTTTAGCCCTTGACATACTTTGCTTATGTTAATCCAGAGCTCCTAGAAGAAAGGATGCTGTTTTATTCATCACCACGGGCAGTATGCAGCAGGCGTTAACATCAGCGAAAGGCAGGTAGGTGTGATCTTCTATTCTCAAGTCTTTTTGTTTTATTAGGACCTTTCTTCTTGGACAGAGACACTAACACATGACTTCATAGCGCAAAATTCCAAACTTATAAAAAGAAAATAGATTTCAGTTTCCAAGCAGAGAACCCGAGAATCTGTGAATCATCGATTTTCCTTCTTTGGAATGATTTTTGTAGGGTCGTATCAATACATGTAGGCCTGGAAGACGGAAACTGTCCTCACACCCAGAGCTGGGGAGGTAAACGGAGCCTCCTCGTAGAATTTAACGAATCCTCAGAAGCAAGTAGCCTCCAAGTTTTACTAATTCTCTCTGCATCTAGAGCAGCAGCCATTTTTAAGTTATCTGTGGTTCATCACAAGCCCACTTCTTACTTCCAGTGCGCCTAACGGGACTTGGTTCCAAATGGGACGATTTCCAGTGATTGAGACAGTGTCTGACACCTGGAGTTAAATCTCTGTTGAATTATTAAATAAACAAATGGAAGTGGAAGACGGATGAACAAAAGAAATTTAACATTCTTTTGCCTAGTGATGTGAAATACTAGTTTCACTGTGGTTTGAGACTTAGAAATGAAGGGACAACCAGGAAAAGAAATCTATTCTTCATATATTCAGACCAAACTTAAAAACCCACTGAGGACAGGCGGGTGTTGCCATTGAATGGTTAGCTATAAGGGCCTGTGTGGGCCTTACCGAGTATCAGGGATGCCAGCAAGCTCCATTCCAACGGGGTGTGGCCGATTCAGTCCCAGCCCTTTGTGGCCGTGTGGCAATGCAGGCCCAATTTCGCTCGTTTTCCCAGTTTTTTAAGAGAAACCTGGAAGTCTAGATTTCTTTATGAAGACTCCAGAATTTTAAATGTTGGCTCAAAATTTAAAAATTGATACACTATGTGCGTTTTGCATGCATGTCTGGCCAGAGGCATATTGATGTGAAACCTCTCGTTTTGACTTTACTGTATCTGAGACTATTTCTCCTTAGGATATGTGTATGTGTGTTTGTGCATCTGTGTATGAATTGTATGTTGTTGCTACAGTCGTTACCTCGTGGAAACTGAGAAGAACAAGGAGGTAAGTTGTGCTCTGGGGGAAGGTTTTTAAGCACTGGCTGAGCTGGTGGAAAATCCTGGAGATGTATCATTAAAGGGATGTGTCAAGCACATTGAGTTATTCCTAAACTTGCAAATATTTTTCTCTGTGATTAGGCCATTTGTGTTTGCTAACTGACACCCAAAAGGAAAGTAAGCAGCTACCCTCCCACAGGGACGGGGAGACACCAGTGCTATTTCCCTTAATGACTACATATCAAAGGATGGCTCCCAGGCCCTTGAGGAAGACATTCCTGGGTTGTAAAACCAGCAAGAAGTTTTTTTTTTTGTTTGTTTGTTTGTTTGTTTTTTTAAAGATTTTATTTATTTACTTGACAGAGTGAGAGATCACAAGTAGAGAGGCAGGCAGAGAGAGAGAGAGAGGGAAGCAGGCTCCCTGCTGAGCAAAGAGCCCCATGCGGGACTCGATCCCAGGACCCTGGGATCATGACCTGAGCCGAAGGCAGCGGCTTAACTCACTGAGCCACCCAGGTGCCCCCAGCAAGAAGTTTTTAATGAGGTTCTTATCTATCTCCAAGACATCAAAGAAAGAATATACAGTTGCAAGTTTTCTAAAATAAATGCTCTAAGTAAAGGGTAGTCAGGGGCTAGAGTTTAGTCAAGCTAGAGAGAATGTTAAGTCCATCTCAGTCTTTTAAGAGTGATGGTAGAGGGGTGCCTGGGTAGCTCAGTGGGTTAAAGCCTCTGCCTTCGGCTCAGGTCATGATGCCAGGGTCTTGGGATGAAGCCCTGCGTCGGGCTCTCTGCTCAGCGGGGAGCCTGCTTCCCTCTCTCTCTGCCTGCCTCTCTGCCTACTTGTGATCTCTGTCAAATAAATAAATAAAATCTTCAAAAAAAAAAAAAAGATTGATGGTAGATGTTGACATTTAGCAAGCTACACACCCGAAGATCAGAAATAAGTGTAATTTCGAGATGTTTCAAGCCTCACTTGGAGCCCTCTCCACCTTTTCCCTGCATTCTCCCTACTGCCTAGTGTACCAGGGAACCATGGAATGCCAGTGACAGTGAGTAGCTAAGTTCTGTCCATTTAAGAACTTGGAGGAGAAACCCATACTATGCCTGTATTCCCTCTAGGGGACTCTACCTGCCCACGGATGTACCAACTGGTGCTTATAAGGGCACCAGTACCACGTGCTTTCACTGGGTGTACAACCTCGGGAGACTTGCTCTCTTCATTTCTGAATGGGCATAATCAGTACACACTACATAGCATTCGTATGAGGAATGAATCTGATCTGTGTAAAGAACTCAACATTGTGCCCGGCATAGAACACCAACTCAACAAATGGTAACAACCAACGCTTCAGCCACTTCTCATCTGTGCTGGTATATGATTTTCACAGAAAGATGGACATACTATGATACTAACATTAACAAAATACACAGAGAGGTGGAAGAAAAGAAGTTAAAAGTATCATGACTTAAATCTACAAGAAGAAACTACCAATGAGACAGTAACTATTTCCAAAGTGCCATGGCCTACCCCCCACAACTACACCGTATTTTCTACCCAAAATTTCCTTCATTTTGTTCCCTCAAACATTTCCCCATGTACATCTCAAACCTTCCTGTTATTTAGTCCCAGGATGCAATGTAATTTTAAAAATTACAATCTTTGTTGTATTTCCTTTGTTACATTTAGCACTTACGGCGTTTTACCCAATGCTATTTATTTTTTGAAAGCCCCTGAGGGAGCTCATTGACTTTTCAGGAAGTGCTTTGCAAATCCTCCCCCAAAAGGTTTTTCCTTTGTTTGTATCATGGTAGCAATTCTAAAGTTTTCAACATTTGGACTCTGGTATTATAATTGGGCTCAAAGTATCTACACAGAAGTGGTCTGTTTCCTCATCCAATGAGCTCGGCCTGTGTGTGGATGTGACACTCCAGTGGAAGGAAGCCAAGAGCCTATAGTAGCAATCCTGGGGAAATTTTAAGCAGCTGTGGCTATGTAATTCAAAACCTCTGAAAACTTGTGTTGCAGTCCGTGCCCAGCATTAGTATAACATGAGGGCTGGATGTAGTCCGTCCCCCGGAGGACTTCCTCGCCTGCTGCAGGAAAGAGAAGACTGAAAGACAAACCTGGGTGCAGCCGGAAAGGTCCAAATACATGAGCTTGTGGCATCCATTCCCCAAATTCAGGTATCGTAAACCTTTGTCTGTGAACTTTCTGCAATAAGCCAAACTAAGATTCTGTAAATTCTGAAAGTACCTGAAAAGACAGGGGCGAAAGGAGGGAAGGAAAGGGATTATACTTGAGTCGTTTTCCATGTCTTTCATAAGCCACTATGACAAAGAGAAGGAAAACTATCAATCTTTTCTCCTTGCAGATCTTCAGCAGTTGAACGTAATTGTTAATGCTCTTCCTGTTATGTGAAGGAGCTTGGAGTAGTGTATCAGATAATGCATCATTACATTTTAAATAAAAATATAGATTTGCCTAGATTCTTAAGAAGGCTGATGGGGGAGAGGTCTGGGGGTGGGGGACGTTTGTGCAATCATATTGTTTGGACGTTAGTTTGTGTTTGAAACCAAAGTTACAGAGTTTGCAGCATTGTTGTATTTAGGTTTTATCCTTGGAGCACCAAAACAATGTGCAAAACATCTAGATGGACAAACCCTTTGAAAACATTTAAATGGCGATTAACTGTTCATGGCAGTGAGGATTTGGAGCAGAAAGGCGAAGTTAAACATAACAAGCTCCTAAAATGGACATGATAAGCAAATGGTTTGGAAAAAAATTTTTGAATATGCATGATTTTGTATGTGTTTCATTTTTATAGTTAAAGAAAGACTAACTGATATAGAGAGCTTAAAAATGGGTTAAAAAGAACAGTGTGCAAATGAGTTGAGCAACACATGAAGGGAATAAAAACGACATCAGAGGCTATCAATCTCACTGGAGTTCAAACAGATTAAATATGGCATTACCACCATGACCAAAGTGATTGCTTCCAGAAAAAAAGGAGGATTATTAAGATGAGCCTGTACTACCGTGCAAGGGCTTACAGTTTGAGGACATTCTCTGGACAATTTTTCAAGCCTTCCTAAGCCTGGCATTTTTTAAAACTGCAAGAACTCCCACTATTGCTCGCTCTTGTAATGGAATTAACAACATGCTCTTGGTTTCTGATCTGCAACAGTTTAACAGCAAATTGGAAAGCAAAAAGAACAAAAAGTGGGAAGAAGGTGACTCTCTGACCCTCAAAAGCCCACAGATGACTAGTAAAATTTACTTTCACGTAAATGGGAAGTAAGATATGCAAGTATTGACAGTTAATCAGATTTATTCCTAAAATTTGGAAAACACATCTATGTGATATATAATGATTCCTATTCCATAGTGACTGATTTTATGCAGAACACACATTCCCCTCTAGCAATGTCCATGAGATTCTACAGAACAAAGAGGGACGCCATCTGGGTTCCCCCGTGGCTGTGGGCAGGGCCGTGCAGCAGAAAGCAGCACTAATATCCCCAGGACACATCCCCTCTCCTGGGGCCCTTGAGTTAACCAAGGGCTATGCCAAAGTTTTGGGAACACTTTGTCTTTCTCTCCCTTGGGGGTACCCTTGTGATTCAATGGAGCAAAGTACAGTTTTCTTGGGGTGTGTGTGGGAGGTTGTCATTTCTAACAAACCTTTAGCTCTCTAATTTAGAGAAAGGAATAGTAAGGCAGACAGCACAACACAATGGAAAATACACGAGGTTTTGGAATCTGACCAAGTTGGATTCAGATTTCAGCCCTGACACTTACTGCAACTTCCCAAATCTCTCAGAGATTGTTTCTGCATCTGTTAAGTGAAGATTATATTATCTCTCTCTCTCTCTCTTTTTGTTTTTTAACCCTGACTGTGTTCAGCTTTCCTGAATCCTAGTTTTCTCATCTGTAACATGGATATAATTCCATCCACTCTTTGCTCTCAGAGGTATGACAATTACATGAGAACATAGATGTAAAATATTATATTAAAGATGACTTTTGATGATTGAAATCAGTAGGTAGAAGCTTGGAAATATATATATTCTTGCTATTACTACTTCAAATAATAGTGTATTAATTATTCTTATGAAGTTTGTACTATCTTCTTCCACATAATGGAATGGCTATCATCTGACAAAAGTAGCACATACAACTGATTCCAAGACTTTGGGAGACCTCACGTTACATCTACACCCTTATTTTGTTCAAGGTTTAATGCCCTTTTTAATCTGTTTGAACTCCAGTGAGACTGATAGCCTCTGATACAGTTTTTATTCCCCTGATGTGTTGCCCACTCATTTGCAGACTGTTCTTAACCCATTTTTAACCTCTATATACAGTCTGTCTTTAATTATAATAGTGTAGCCGTCACTTACAAAATCATGCATATTCAAATATATGCAAATCAAGCCCAAGCCTATTGTTCGACTTTTTTCAGTCCTTGTGATCAGTTAACAATACTCAAAGTGGGGGGCACCTCGGTGGCTCAGTCGGTTAAGCCTCTGACTCTTGATTTCAGCTCAGGTCATGATCTCAGGATCCTGGGATAGAACCCCACGCTGGGCTCTGCGCTCAGTGTGGAGTCTGCTTGCCCCTCTCCCTCCCTCTGTTTGTTCTCTCTCTCTCTCAAATAAATAAATAAAATCTTAAAACCCACACACACACAAATACTCAAAGTAGGAATGGAATGAGGAGTTTTTCACCTTTTGTGTATAACATATACTCTAGATCTATGGACCCTTCATCAGCATAATGTTTTTAATGCATAAAATAAAACACTTAAAATTACAAAAGCAACTAATTATATTGAAAGATAGCATTATCAAAATTCTTAAAAAACCAAATGAGTGGAATAATAATGTATGTGCTTCTTTATTAGCATATTAAATAACAAGATCTAGTGGCAGAGCTAATAACTACCCCTGATTTTGAAGTAGTGATGAGTGTCAATGATACTTTGAGATACTTGTAACAACTATAATAAGAAAATGTTTGAGATTTATATGGTCAAGAAGTCCCAGGAACTGCTAATACTACTGTGATTTTTCTTAACCTGCATTTCAGTTAGAGCTTAGTGAAAATAGAGATTATTTTTCCCCCATCAAAATTCATGGAACCTCAAATTCTATCCTTGGTCTCCTTGGAGAATCCACTGAGCCCAGGTTGAGAACCTCAGCTTTGGCAAAAGAAGTTGTTCACTGGACTAAATGACTCCCAGACTGAAAGTCCCTAGATGACTGTCTTCAAAATGGAACCTCTTGGGAACCATCAGTTTGAAAACCCAGCACAGGAGAATCCTAAGTGGCCCTGTAGACCTTTCTAGGGATTTACAGGGCCATAGGCTTGAAGCTGTTGGGGATGGGAAAATAATCAGTTGACAGTGAAATCACTTGGCAAATTTTATGCAATACTGCAACTTTTTATTCTGAATTTTGGCAAAAAAGTCCCTTACGTGAGTAAGATCTGGTTCATCATTTTCTCAAGCCAGAGACGACTTGGTATTTCTAATTCTACTTTGAGACAATGTTGGCAGCCTATGTTTATCTTTTCTTCATTATTTGATAAATAAGTGTTTCTAATGGGGGTGGTTCCCTTTGTGATTTATTTTTCTACTGCTACTATAATCTTTAAGAAGTCTTATAGACTTACAGAAACTACAGAGGTCACTTTTTCTCTTTTCTTTTGGCTTTTTTCCATTAACGAATTGAAACCTTCTGTGTTAGATCACCAATACCTCAGGGAATTACTATTGGAAGGAATGAAGAATTATGTATTTAAACAAAAATTTCTCTGAAAAATCACCAAGACAAGGCCTATCTGTAAGAGAGGATTGCAGTAGTTTCTTTTGAGTTAAGGTTTGGGCTTTTTAGTTTCATAGGGACAGTTTTGCATAATAGATTCCTGCAGAAACCCAAATGGAGTGTTTTGACCTCTTATTCGTAGGGTAGACCTTGAGGATGTCCAGTCAAGTCAAGGCAACAGCTTCCTCTGTCTACCCCACTCTGATGGTTACTGGTAAGACTATATTACATGAGAGCACCTATGAATAAGAACTTTCCAAGCCAATTGAAGGGCCTGTATGAAAAATAATCGAACACCATGTCACTATACAAGATGAGGCTCCATTAAGGAGCAAAGATCATAGTAGCTTTATTCTCTCCTATATGCCTAGAATGTCTCCCACATAGTAATTGATCAATAAATGGTGAATAAGAGAATGAATGTTGCTGTTAGGTTTCAAGGAAAGGAGAAATCATTGTGGAATTCTGGTAGATGGTATAGACTTGAGGTTTCAAGGCTATGGCTTAGCAGAGAGGAGGAAAAAGACATTCTAGCTATAGAGAACAAGAAGCATACAGCAATCTGGTAGGAGTTAAGGGCCTCCCTCAGGAAACCTGGGCAGATAGGTTTGATCAGATAACGTTAAAGGACAGTAAGGGAAGAGTCTAGAGCCTAAGCATGTCAAAGACATGACAAGAATATTGTTCCAGGGTGATACTTCTTACAGCATACGGCAAAGCAGATTGAAAGGAAGAGAGACCAAGGGTGACCAGTTAGGATGCTATGGCAAATGAAATGCTGGGAGTGCCAGCTAGGTTGTGGAATGAATGGAAAGGGTTTGATTCAGGAAAAAGCAAACGTCCTGGAATGGGCACGAGCTAACAGCCACCCCCATTTTCAACTTTAGAAAGTTGAGCAAGTCCCTGAAGCAAGTGAGGAAAAATATTCAAATAAGAAGCTGGCAAATCAATGTTGTCAAGAAGGGCAAACAAATTATATTCCTTTGGCAAATTATTTCTTTGGAAAGAAAGGCTAAAGGCCTTGAGAGAGAATGACAACAGCACAAACAACATTTCTCCGGTTATTTATAGTTTAAAGAACCCTTTCGCATACCTAAGCATATTTGAAACAATGGAAAACAGAGCAAAAATAGTCATTATGAGATATATTTTTATCACAGATAAGAAAGTCAGTGCACATTTTTTTTGTATGACAAAAGTCATCAATATCAAGTGCATTTACCCTGGATATTCTTTCAACATCAAGAACTAGAGTTAAAATCAAAACAAAATTCTCATTTTAGGTCCTGTTTTTCTATCTGTTGCTCATTAAATGTACAGCTTCATTTGTACAATAAATGTCCCAGAAACTATGCATGGTTGTAGTATTATTTTAAATTTCCTAGGAGAAATGATTATCTAAAAGTATGCTATCCCAAATCATCTACTTTTTAAGTTCAGATTTTCACATATGGACTTAATGGATTTTATAATATATTCTGTCTCTTTCTACACACACACAAACATATATGCTCTCTCTCTATACACACAAACACATTCATACATGCACATATATTCATGCACATACATATCTCAATATGGAATGCCTAAAGAAAAGTACTGAGCAATATTCTATATTGTAGGACTAGAGAACCTCATAGAACTCCTGAGAGGGTCGGGGCCCTCCACAGTGGTGTCACTGGAGCTGGCTTACACCAGCCCATGAGAGCCAACCATTAGCATTTCTTCCCAACTCCATGATCAATGACATCATTTTGGTAGCTTAAAAATGATCATGGTGGTAGCATTTATACCACAGAAGTCAGAACATCCCCTTAGCCTCTACCCAAACTAGTTATTAAACATTTACTGGAACACAGTTACCCTTGGAACACACTTTGAGAACTACTGATATAGGGAACATAGTATGCCGAAGAAACATATACAGAGATAAAATGATAAGAAAGAAGATGACAGCTTTGAAAAACAGGAATAAAAATTCAACCTATAAATGAAAGAGGATTCTTAAGATTAAACCTGAACAAATGGAATAGAAGAATTAAAAAAGAAAAATACCTTCCCTGGCTGAGAAAAGATCTAAGTTTTAATGTTCAAAGGTTTACTATGTTCCAGGAAAAGTTAATTGAAAGAATACAATTAAGCTGGAAAATGTTTTTAATTTCTCAGTAAATTAAGCATAGTTGCAGAAAAAATATGAACAACAAAGGAACAAAAAAATCAAGCTGGTTTTACACTTCTCTTTAATCCAAAATATCAAAGATTATGGGGCAGTATTTGTAAGATTTTAAAATAAAGTAAGGGACATGATTCAAGAACTATATGCCAAGAGGAGTTGTTCACTGTCCAAGACAAAAGAAAGTTATTTTCAGAAAGCAGTGGCCGAAAATCTAACACCCGTTTATCTTTCGGTTAAAGGGTTCTTAAAACTATATTCCCAGTCATCATGGGATGAATAAAAATCAGAATTAAAGAATAAAGAAATTGTGGAACAAATGGACCATCAATAAATGACAAAACTAGAGTTAGGACTACATAACCATAAATATCATCACAAACATGAAAGTCAATATTAAAAGGAAAGTTAAGGGATTAACAAAAATCACAATTTTCATGTGTTTATATACAAGGGGAAGAAGTAGAGAAGCATCAAGTTCAAGGGAGAATCAAAGTGTATTAGATCTCTAGTCTAACACAGGAGGAGGAGCCAAAGTCATTGTTCCATCATGACTGGTAATTGGAGAAATGCATATTAAAAGCACGTTTCAGAAATACCATACAGGGGTGCCTGGATGGCTCAGTCGGTTAAGCATCTGCTTTCAGCTCAGGTCATGATGCCAGGGTCCTGGGACAGAGCCTGAAGTCAGGATCCGCACTCAGAGTCTGCCTCCTCTCCCTCTGCCCCTCCCCACACTTGTTCCTTATCTCTCTCCAAGAAATAAATAAAATCTTTAAAAAAAAAAAAAACCAAAAACATACAAATAGCCACTGGTTGAAATACAGAACAGAATGTGCACATACCTCTGAAATACCTCAAAACTATAAAAGTCAACCACATAGTTTATATAGCAAAAGGTGAAAGCAATGGATATAGTACAGTAACAGAAAAATCAAAAACATAAAGCAAGATGATAAAAATAAGACCATATGCTCCATTTTGACAGGAAATACTAATCTTCTAAACTAACCTCTTAAAATGGCAGAATGAAAAATTTACAAACAGAAGTTAACTATATGCTTCCTTCAAAAGACAAATCTAAAATATACCAGCACAAAGATTAAAGATGCAGGGATAGAGGGGCATCTGAGTGGCTAAGTTAAGGGGCTGACTCTTAATTTCAGCTCAGGTCATGATATTGGTGTTGTGGGATCACACTCAGCACAGAGTTCTCTCTCTCCCTCTGCGCCTCCCCCTGCTCACATGTGCTCTCTCTAAAAAAATAAATAAATAAAATCTTTTTAAAAATTAATAATAAAAAAATTAAAGTACAGGTATACATAAAGTTATTCCACAGAACCATAAGCAGAAGGAAACAAAGGTGACCATATTAATAGCAAATAAAGAATTCAAGGCAAGGAAACATCAACCAGGATAAAGAATATAATTTTATGTGAAAAAATGCTAAAATCTATAATGAAACATACTACTTATTAATCTTTATATGTAAAATAAAAATATCAAAATAAACTAAGGAAGCTTTATTATAAAAGGCAACCAATATATCACTATTACAGTAAGAAATATCAAGAATTTATACATAGATACACACATACACATAGAAATTTTGTTCTCTAAAAGAACCTCTCTTATTTTAAACATTCATGGATGATTTACTAGAATTATTTTTATGTACTAGTCTACCAAGAAATCTCAATAAATTCCACAAGGTAGAAATAATTCAGTCCAAAAAAAAAAAAAAAAAAAAAGAAAGAAAGAAAGAAAAGAAAAGAA